CAAGAACTGGTGAGAGCTTCCAGTACAAGGCTGAATAGATGTGGCAAAAGTGGGCATCTCTTTCTTGTTCCTGATCTTAGAGGAAAAGCTTTTATTCTCTCACCGTTAGTATGATGTTGGCAGTGGGATTTTTCATACATGACCTTTATCACATTAATTGAGTTTCCTTCTATTCCTAGTTTTCTATTTTTACGATGAAGGGTGCTGAATTTTGTCAAATGATTTTTACACCTATTGAAATAATAATGTTTTCCCTTTATTATATTGATGTAGTGTATTAATTGATTTTCATAGGTTAAGCTAATTGTGCATTCCTGGGATAAATCCCACCTGGTTATCCTTTTTATATATTTCTGAATTTTATTTTCTGGTATTTTGTTGAAGACTTTTATGTCTATATTCATAAGAGATATTAGTCTCTAGTTTTCTTGTGATGTCTTTGTCTGATTTTGACAGTAGGGTAATACTGAACTCAGAATAAGTTGGGAAGTTTTCACTGTCATGACTTTTATAACCTAATTATAAGTAATTCTGGTCAGGTACCGTGGCTCATGCCCACAATCCCAGCACTTTGGGAGGCTGAGGTGGGTGGATCACCTAAGGTCAGGAGTTCGAGACCAGCCTGGCCAACATAGAAAAACCCCATCTCTACGAAAATTACAAAAATTAGCCAGGTGTGGTGGCTGTGTGTGTAATCCCAACTACTTGGGAGGCTGAGGCACAAGAATCGCTTGAACCCAGGAGATGGAGGTTGCAGTGAGCTGAGATCACACCACTGTACTACAGCCTGTGTGATAGAGCTCTGTCAAAAACAAAAACAAAAACAAACAAACAAACAAAAAAAAACAAAAAAACAAAAAAAGAAAGAGAGAGAGAAAAAAAAAAGAAAGAGAAGAGAAAGAAAGAAACTCCTTCTGTAGTATTCCACAGGTCACAAAGACCAACCCTGGTGCACTGTGGGAAGGTACTAACAAGGGTGTGAACACCAGGAGTAGGATCACTGGGAACTATCTCAGCAGATGGCTGCCATAGCTACCAACTGACTAACATTCACTGAACACTTACCATGAACCAGACATTGTGCTAAGCTCTTCACGTGACTTATCTCCTTGAATCTTCCCAGCAACCTTATGAGGTAGGTAGGTGCTGTCATTATTGCCATGTTACAGATGAAGAAATTGAGATACAGAGATTAGACTCACCAAACTGCCCAAACTCCCACAGCTATTAACTGGTGGAACAGGAATCAAACTCAGTAGGGTGTGTGTATAATATACTTTGGGGTTGTTTTGTTTTGTTTCATTGTTGTTGTTGTTGTTTGAGACAGGGTTTCACTCTTTAACCCAGGCTGGAGTGCAGTGGCATGATCTTGGCTCAATGCAACCTTCACCTCCTGGGTTCAAGCGATTCTCCTGCCTCAATCTCCTAAGTAACTGGGATTACAGGTGTGCGCCACTACACCCGGCGAACTTTTGTATTTTTAGTAGAGTAATTTTTGTTTTTTTAGTTTCACCATGTTGGCCAGGCTGGTCTCGAATTCTTGACCTCAAGTGATCCACTACCCTTGCCCTCCCAAAATGCTGGGATTACAGGCGTGAATCACCGCGTCTGGCGTTTTTTTGTTTGTTTGTTTGTTTGTTTGTTTAGAGACATGGTCTTGCTCTGTTGCCCAGGCTGGAGTGCAGAGGTGCCATCATAGCTCACTGTAGCTTCAACCTCCTGGGCTCAAGTGATCCTCCAACTTAAGCATCCTGAGTAGCTGGGACCACAGGCGCCCACCACCAACCCCGGCTAAATTTTAAATTTGTTTGTAGAGATGGGAGTCTCGCTTTGTTCCCCAGGCTGATCTCTAACTCCTGGCCTCAAGCAATCCTCCCGCCTTGGCTTCCCAAAGTGTTGAGATTACAGGCGTGAACCACCGCGCCCAGTCTGTTTATCTTGATTACTAAATTTTGGGGTGCCTCCTTAAATTCTGTGCCAGAGGCCAGTGCCTCACTCGCCCTACCCTAATCCCAGCCCAGTGACCCAATGTCCCCCTTCAACCTGCACCATGGAGCTCCCCAGCCTGGCTCCTCGAGCCTCTTCCCGCCCCTAGGGGTCGCCGTCGCGCCGTCATTCGCTTCCCTGCGTTCCCCGGCAAGACGCGCGTCAAGGCGCGGAAGGTGGGAGGCGGTGAGGCCGGGGCGTGCGCATGCGCGTGGCGCCGATTCCCTTAGCCTGGTCAGGGAGTGGAGAGGTTGGGTCTCAGGCGGCTGTTTGCTGCGTCCTCACTTCCTGGGTCGTTTCTCCCTGTCTTGGTGGGGGCCAGGGGACAGGTCGGGGCAGTATTTGGGGAAAGCGAGAGGCAAGCAGGGCGGGCTGGATACGGAGCGCCCTATGGCTTGAAGCTAGGGAGGACGCCCGAGACCCCCGGCATCCTGGTCCTGGGGCGTGGGCCCTGGACGCCGGGCCTGGACGCCTCCAGCTCCCAGGGTCC